AGAGAGAGAGAGAGAGAGAGTAGGTGACCCTGGGGCCAGCAGCAAACAAGCAACAGGAGACAGGGACGGGACAGCTGGCCGGATGCTGAAAGCCCGCATCTCATCTTTGGGCGAACAACCGAGGACCGAGCCTGAGCTGTAAAACTCGTGGAACAATCTCGTGGAACGTCAACACTCGGGATCAGCGCCAAAGGGGGGAAACAGGAGAGCAGGCAGCTCCAGCGGGAAAATGCGCCGCCTTGCGTCAGTGTCCTATACGGTCCTTTACACATTATGCGGACAGGCCTGCAGCATCAGAGGAGGAATGTGTCACTCGAAAAGCCCGACATTGACATGGAAGAGGTCCTTGTGGAAACCTGCGGCCAAGCGCCATAGAACGGGGAACGATCACCAGAAGCTACACATCGGGGAGATGGAGGCGACGACAAGAACGAGACGCCCTGCAGAGCCCATACGAAGCAAAAGGAAGCTGTAGCCTTGTGCCGGAGACCCACCAAGCAAGCAGCATAGTGGTGCGACCCCAACGACATGGAGGGGTTCAAACGCTCAATGTACTTCGGCAGAGATCGTCTCAACGAGCCCTTGAAATCCAAATACAAGTCCGCCTAGCCGGTCCGACGCACTTGCATGTCAGCAGCTCCACCACCACATAGCACCGTCGCCGCGAGCGACACAAACATTGAAATAGGACTTGGCACAGAATTCTACAAAGCCGGATTCCCTCTGTCACAGCGCCTTGCGACTGAAATCGCACTCCTACTTACTGGGTGTCCTCGGCCCTAGGGTGCCGATGGGAGCCTCAACTTGTAGGGTTCGGCGATGTTTGGCGGTTAGGGCCGAGGGTCTGGAAGCTTCAGCCCTCTGCAGAAGGAGCGAAAGCTGATGCCAGTTGCGCTTTCTACTTGGGCGCAGCTTGGCCGGCACCTGGACAACTTTGAGTCGCTTCGCCGCAGGCAGCCAGTCGATTTGGTCGAGGGTGTTGGGCCTATAGGAAGTGAAAGCATAGCTCCAAAATTCTCATGGTTCTCATGGACCTACATCTGACTACTACCCTCACCATGAGTAGTTGAAGCGTCGTGACGACGACGGCCACTGATAATGCTAGTACGACCACTGCCACTACCAACTCTGCTGTTGCAGCTACTGCTGCTACTGTTACTGCTACCACTGCGACTACGACTAATAACGAATACGACGGCGACGGCTACTGCTGCGGCTGCTACTACCACTACTACTACCACTAATGCCGCTACTACTACTCATACTCCCACTCTACTCCTACTGCTCATGTTCCTGCTCCTGCTCCTACTGCTACTGCTGCTCCTACTCCTACTCCTACCACTGCTGCTGCTGCTGAAGCTACTGCCCATTGCTACTGCTGCCGCTGCCGCTGCCAGCATATGATCGTTTAGGTAAGCCTCCTAAACGCTAAAACCCTCCCATCTCAATCGTCCTTCAACGCCTATAATAAGAGCTCCGTCCTCTTCAATGCCGAGGTTTCGACTAGGCGATCTTCACCAGGAGGGGTCGGCTTGGCTGGGAGGCTCTGAAGGCGCCATCTCTCCGTCTCCGTCTACGCTCGTGGTCGCAGTGCATGCCTGCAACCGGGTCTGGAATCTGATGTGTTGAAGTTGAAACGCTTTCAAGACTGCCTGGAGTTGAATGAACTTGTAGAGCTGAGGAGAGGGATGCTTATTCCTTTTGGGGGATTCAAGAATATATGGGGACAAAAAGTAACAGTGTTTCTCCGAGACTTCAGAACCCAGGCAACCAAGCCACTTTGGATGTGCTGGATTTGGCCACGCATTTCGGAACCTCCTGGGCAGTGGTACCCTGCTGCATGCGCAAGCAGAAATATTTCCCAGGTCATCACACTTGGAGCGCGACGAGCACTATCCAGTGATGTGTGGGGCTCTTTCTGCGAGGTTTGGTGCCGACATGCTCCACAGCATCGACAGGCTCATCTCCACGAAGAATTTGATCATCGCGAAGAGAGCTCCGCGGCTTGGTTGAAACCCTCTTCAAAGACGGACCGTCGGCAATCGAACTTCACCCGGGTGCAGCGTGTGCTCCAGATAAAGTTTCGAAGACCTCGGAACAAGGCCCTTGACCTTGAGTGGAGTGGGGCGTGCTTCCCAAAATCTGGTTGCTGAAAGCTTGCGTGCCACTCGGGCTTGGTGCTCCTTCCTTCTCCCGGAGACTCGACGCATCCCGATCTCCATCCTCTGCCAGCTCACACATCTTCATCCCTTGACGAAGGAAGGGAAAGAAAGCAGGGACACACAGAGGCCATACAGGCCTGTGAGAGGCTTCCGCAAGGAGCAGGCAGACACAAAATCGATTTTGCACTGCAGGTTGATGCCGACTTCTCTGATCCTAGGCTGTTCGTGCATTTGCAGTATGAGCCTCGTTGCTCTGCTGTTGTGCATGCAGGATATGCCGCCGCCGCTGTGCCCTGCGGTTTGCTGCTGGCGTTCTCGGGGAATGTGCATTGGATCCAGGACTGCATGCAAAGACTGCTGTTGTTTCTCACGAATATCCCATCAACTTCTGTCACCAGCTGCAGCTGCTGCGAGAACATGCTGAGTGCTTGAGTTGCAACTGATGCGACTGTTGCAGCTGTGTCAGCAAGCATGTGCCCCTTCCTGTTTTATTTCTAGCTTCAGTTTGATCGCTGAGAAGTTCAGGCTGTTTGTGCCCAGTCCTCGACATACCATGCTCATGACGATCTGTTGAGCATGTGCTGTGTTTTTGCAGAGTCAGTTCACAGCTTGTCCGGTAGCCTGGAAGGATGTCACCGATCCACTTGCTGCCACCCGGCTTCAAAGCTGCTGTGCTCATGGCGCTAGCGGACGAAAGGTTCCCAAGCTTTGAACTTGAACAACTGAAAGGACAGAGGAAGATCAAATTCTTTGTTTCCACTGCTGGTACCCTGTCGCGTTTTTTGCTTTAGTCTTCGCTGTCCTTACCTTCCAATCGTTGAAGCAGCAGCAGCAACAACAACAACAACAGCAACAACAAGACTTCCGAATTGTAATGACGGAAGATGCACAGGTATTCATATGTCAATCGCAAGAAGCCGGAATATGACTCAATTCAGCTCTGCAGACCCCTGAACACCAAGTCACCACCCAAGCAACGAAGAACCAGAATCCAAGTTCTTGCACTAAGCCCTCAAGCCAGGAAGCCTGAAAGATCCGAAACCCTAAACCCTAAACCCCTCGCCGACTTCGCACCATGAACCTCGCCTGGCTTGTCCGAGTTGTGAGAGCGTAAACCCTTAAGTCCGAAACAGGACGACTTCCGGAACTTGAAGGAGCCCGGGCCGCAGCTATCCCGGGAGGGCGCCTTCTTTGTGGTGGAGGGCCCTGAGGCGCCAGGCTTGGAGGCTTTTGAGTTTAGGGTTCAGAGTTTAGGGTTTAGGGAGTTTAGAATCAGAAGTTTGGGCGGCTTGGTCTAGTAGTGTATAGGAAATGTACAGAAAAGTTTAAATTACATAGGTATACCAAAACATCACGATTTTTTTAGGGCTCCTGATTAGACTTGTAGCATAAAGTCCCCCAAGATCCTCTTCTGGTAATTCCGCCCCCTATATGCCCCTGCATATGAGGGTGTAGCGTTTAGGGTTTTATGGCAGAGTCTGGGTTCAAAGGGGTTAAACCCTAAACCCCTACCTGCCATGCCTGCTTGCGCGAGTGTGTGAGTCGAAACCCCTAAACCCTAAATCCCTGTATTCACAATCCGAGAATCCCCAAGCTCTTTTGGTGCATAGACTTATCCACGCTGCGATTTCCCGACTGCAACTCCAAACATAAAACCTTCTAAACATTCGGCACACCGAAAGCACCTCTTCAAGCGAAAGCCCTCCGCTGCAATCGGTCGGAAGATTTATCATTACGGTTTGTGGAACAGGCCATTCGTTTGCTCCTGGCCAGCGAGTTTGCCCGGTCTCCCAGTAGCCGCGACTTTAGCAGAGTCTTCGAGAATTGGGAGGTTCGATCTTTCGGGCTTCTTGCTCCATGGAGTGCTTAATCCTCACTGTAGGGTTGTCTTAGGCTCCGTAAAAATTAATATCTAATTCTAGTACCAGAAGCCCTAAACCATTTTTAACTGACTATGAAGGCCCCTATATTAGACCTTCTGCTGTTTCTTCGGTGCTTAAGTTAACTTGTGCTGAGATTCCGGATGTCAGCAGGCAGCCGCAAGCCTTGCTGTTGTCGTTTTTGTGTTCATGATGCATGCCTGTGGCCATGCAGGGGCTGCAGAGTGGATGCAACAGCCTTTGATTGGAAGGACCCTAAACCCTAAACCCCTGAACCTCTTCCTACTAAGGCTGTGACGAAGCTTCTGCTGAAGCCCTCCCTGCTGGACTCCATGGCGGAAGCTTTGGTCTCGAGGCTCAAGCGTGCCTGAGCCAGCAAGTTTGGCTTTCGATTAGGGTTTGGAGTTTAGCCCGCTGCCCAAGCGTCTTGCCGCGCTTGCACAGGTGCTTCATGCCTTGCGTTTTCCAGCAGATTCGGCCTGTCCGGACTGGAATTCGCGCGCGCTCTCAGCATTTTCGGCTTCTGCACGCTCGCCGATTCCGTACCGCTTCCCACACACACATCCATTCCCACAGAGCATCCATGGGCCAACCATGATAACGTTCCCACAAACTCCATCCGTTCCCGCAGAGCATCCATGTGCCAACCGTGATAACGTTCCCACAAACTCCATCCGTTCCCACAGAGCATCCATGGCCCAACCATGATAACATTCCCACAAACTCCATCCTTTCCCACAGAGCATCCATGGCCCAACCATGATAACGTTCCCACAAACCCCATCCGTTCCCACAGAGCATCCATGCGCCAACAATGATAACGTTCCCACAAACTCCATCCGTTCCCACAGAGCATCCATGGCGTTCCCCAAACTCCAGCAGTTCCCACAGAGCATCCATGGCCCAACCATGATAAACTCCATCTGTTCCCACAGAGCATCCATGTGCCAACCATGATAACGTTCCCACAAACTCCATCCTTTCCCACAGCGCATCCATGGCCCAACCATGACAAACCTCTTTCACCTCCGGCCCGACAGCAGCGCAACCCCAAACATTGACAGCCGCAGTGGCCCCGAAACTTTTTCATCTAAGGCTTTCCTCTAACATGTAATTTTTGTAAAAAAAAACACGTTGGAAAAGCTGCCTCCTGAGCCACGACCAAGGCACTTTCGCACTGTAAATGCCAATGGATTCGTGTGTTTATTCTTGCGCTGCGGCGTAACGTCCGGGCGTAGCGTTTAGGGATGAGTTCCATGGCTCTGCACGGAACCATAGTTACACTTACAATGCCCTTACATCACGCATGGCCACATTCCAGAAGACCAGGCGCTAGGAAATTTTCCGAATCCGCTGGCCTGGAAAGCACCAGGCTTCGACAACTTGAAAGCAAATCGCATTGTCACTTCGACGGGTTTCGGGAGTCTCGGCGGTGCGTTGCATTCCTTGCTTTTCACCAACCTCTGAATGTCACTTCGTGTATGGTTACATGTATCCGAAACGTTGTTCCAAGCTTTAAGTCCATCATGATAAGAAGCTCCTGAAAGACTCTGTATCTCAATGGAGACCAACGGCAGAATGACATGAGCAAGCCTGCCACAAGAACCTATGCACACCCCACGCAAACTATTGACACATGTGAGTAAACATAACATCTGGTCGAAACTTGGTAATAGTGTTGACAGTATTGGCTACCCGTAGACGAAGGTGGGAAAGGTAACGCAGCGGGAACCCTAGCCGAGCATCACCACCCCGGTGGGGGGAGGCCTTGCAACTAAATCTCAGACCATGGTTAGAATAGGGTTTTGGGAAATATCATAAACATGCGGAACCCTGACGAATACCCACAATGTTTTGAAGCTTCTATGTTACCGCCCTAAACTCACGGCTGTCCATCGAAAAGCATGTTACGTTTGCCTATCGTGCCACAAGGTGAAACAATCGCGGATGCAGATGCACAGGCCAAAGCTGTTAAGAGTTAAGAGATATCAGTGGCTGCCATTGCATTCGCATCAACCTAAACAAAATATACTCCGGTATCAGTTAATTGAGATATGATAAGATGAGATGGTATAATATAACTCCTAACCCACTGGAGTCGCCTTCAGGTCATGCTTCTCCTTTGCAGCTCGGCAGCATCTTATTTGACTTCTTGATGGGTCCCCCTAAAACATCCACTGCGCTTGGCGATTGCAAGCAGTACTGCCCCCTGTGTTGGGAACCTAGCCTTCTCTGGCTCTTTCGTTTGCATCCATGTGTTGTGCTTGATGGTTTGTGCTCGCCTGCACCAGATCGTGCTGGAAGGTCGCGAAGCTGTGCTGTGACCACTATCGACATACGCTGCCTGGGCGCTCTTTCGCGAGCACATAGCAAGAGGCCTCGGAGGCCCCGCGCGTCGTAGTTGAACCAGCATGGTGACAACCCGGCTGGTTCGTTGGCTTGCGCTGTGCCAGTTGGCGGTCAGCAGAGAGGTGATTCCGGATCCATGCGGCGAGAGCTGCGTCAGTCGCCCAGATGCAGGTGACACTGCCTTGTTGCAGACAGCGAAAGCCTCTGGCGAGCCCATCTCTTCGAAAGATTTTGCGGAGAAGATGCAGTGCGATGCGCGGGAGAAATCCTTCTTGATCAATGGAGGTGACTGGACTTTCGTCTTGGGCAATTTCCAAAGCCCTGGTATCCTTTGGGAGGACCTTCTGGTGAGTTGGGAGAAGGGAGGTCCTCACACAGAGTACTTTGGCATCGATTACACGTTCATGTCGCAGACTTATAGCTTCACGGACTACCTGACTGTCTCCTCTTATAAGGGCGTGTTTCTTTTTCCCATGACGCTCTGGGCCTCGCAAGTCATCAAGCTAATTCTGCCGTTGCCCTTTCCCACTGGTTGCAACGATTTCTGGAAGGAGCAAGGCTTCAGCGGCCTCTACATCTCGCCGCCATGGTCGCTGGAGGCATTGAAAAGCCCGGGCTTTGACGACGCAGGCTGGTCGCGATCCATGGACCCCAAGGATCTCATTGTTGACAGCTTGACCTTCCACATCCGTGTCCAGCCAAGGCTGAAGGTTCTCCCAGGCTTGTATCCGCTGGTTTGAGAAATAATATGAATTTAGGGATGTGCCACGACATAGAAAAGGAGGACAGATACTTTTTTTGTTGCACGGACGACTCTACTTGAAGCACCGGTTTTGACGATAAAGCGAAATTTGCGCAGGTGAAAGCCCGGATGCCCCGCCGACCATGGAGGTACGGTTGCAACTCGATTTGGACCTCCGCCCCGTCTTCCGTACTCCTGGGCCGAAGCCAACCACGACAACCACGTCAACGAAGCCATATGACCGCCGACGCCGTGGTCAATTTGATCCCCCGCCGCGTGAGGTCTTGATGTGGTGCGAAAAAAATCTTCCCCAAGATTCTTGCGGTATCGTGCTCAGAGTCCTCATCAATTCATTGTGGACCTGCTTCCGATGCTGTCCACGAGAGCCTTGGTGCAAAGTCTGTCCCTTCGCGTGTCCTCTTGGCTCCCACCCGAGCATCATCTACCAGCTTAACGGGCTGCCAGGGGTTGATTTGGCTGCTCCAGGCGAGCTCAGCGAGCTGGAGTGGTTTGCGGAGTCACCTCAGTGGCCTGAGAACTTGACCATTCCTGCCGGATTTCTTTTCGACACCCCTGACTTGTACAAATTGCTCTCCACAGCCGAGAGGCAGCGAGTGCAAGACTTCAAGGGCGTGTCGGTCACTGACGGCGACTGCCCCGTGCCTTTCGCGATCGGCGGCGGTTGCAAATGCAAAGAGGGCTGCTCTCCGCTGCCCTACTTGAACTCAGACTTCACATCGGGCACGGGCCTTTCCTGCGAGGGGCCATGGCCTCCACCTATCGACTTGGTGGCCATTCACAAGACGATATGTGGGCCTAGGAGGGTTCATAAGGCTTTCGCGCAGGGCAAGACAACGCAGCGTGGCGGAATCTATGTGAGGTGCGAGGTGGGAACGTTGATAGGTGGTGCTTGCAGTAAGTTTTTGCCATACGATGGCGCCGAGATCCTAGCTGCGTTTCCTGACGATCGGAACACGTTCCGATGCTTCGGAACTGGCGAGTGGAGTCAGGAACCAGTCCACTATACAGTGGCCCGTGGATGGTGTCTGGAGCTTGAGGGAAATGAGAAGGTCATCATGGTCAGGAGGGAAGGTCGTGACAATGCTTCTGTCCAATGTCCTGATGGTTATCAGGTTGTGGGAGGGGGGTGCACCTTTATCGAAGGCACGGAGTTCACGCTTCGCGAGTCCTACCCAACATCCCAGAACACATGGGAGTGCATCTTTGACTCGACACGGTCCTGTGGCGAAGGTAGTCCGGTGTGTCTGCGCAGTGAGGCCCGCGCTATTTGCCTGGGCGTTGCAAGTGCGCAGTAATTAAATCCAATTTTCCACGACATGCCTAACACTCCAAGCTGTAGCATGTGTGGCCAACTGCTTCCTTTAGAGCAGGGATGCTGTACAGAGAATCCTGAAGCCTTCCCTGTATCTGCTCAGACATGCCTGACAGTCAGATGTAGCATGTTACTGGCCTAAACTGGGTCTTCTCCTGTCAGGGTACCTTGAAGGTGCGGCAAAAAACACGGAGGCATGTTCCCAAGATGACGACAGCCCATCTTGCCTTATTCCACGAATTGAGAAACGCCTGCATTGCTGTCCGCATGGAGCACTAGCCACTAATCTCGCCCTAGTGTTCATGCGGGCGCCAACTTGATAACCCAACTCTGGACTTACCCTAAACCCTAAACCCCTCAACCCCTAAACCCCTAAACCCCTAAACCCCTAAACCCTAACCTCGCCTAGGCTTGTCCGAGAGTGAGTGCTGAAACCCTAAACCCCCAGCTGCGAGAAGCAAGTGAGAGCTCAGATCCACCGGGCCAAGGCGAAGCGAACCTCATGGAGCAGGCCTTGGGCACAGAAACGACTTGCGAGCCCAAGCCAGGGAATATGCTTTGAGGAAAAGGGGGGTTTTAGGGCTTTAGGCTTTAGGGTGATCCTTAGTACCATCTTTTGTACATTCCTTAATACAGGTTTTTGGAGTCTCTGGGTAGGTGACGGGCATCCCGGCGAAGCATGCGAGCGCTGCTTTGGCGATCGCAAGACGAAGAGCGCCCTGCTGCTTACAGGACCGCTGTCAAAAAATCTACGTGCTGCTGAGCTACTGTTGCCCATTCGGCCGTTTACGTCGTTGTGGCACGGGTTCAATGATTCCATATTCTTGTTTACTAAGCTGCTTCGAAAGCTGACTTATGGATGCATCTCATGTCGTGAGGATATCCCACAGTTCGTGGCCGGCGCCCCCTTTCGCGCACTCGCATTGGAGAGAGGTCTTGACGAGGCCTGTCCAAGAGCATGGGTATGAGAGCTGTTCGTGTCTGTTCAGGGCATGGAGTTTCGACGCAGGTGCGATCAGCCTGCTGCAAACGTACATTGGAGCATAAACAGAATTCAATACTCTGAGCTGACCATGACTCTTCAAGCAGTCTCCAAGCATGCGTGGCCCTCTCTGCGGTCTTTGCTGTCCGTAGTACAAGGGGGGGCCATGTTGGACTGTTGGGCACCAATCTGTTATCCAATCTCGTGCTGCTAGGAATCCGTTGGGGCTTTGTTTCGCACCCTGGCTGCATTCAGATTGCGGTGTTCTGCAGGCAGATGCCACACTAATGCTACTGTACCATCTGCCCAGATCATCCGTGTCCTGAGGCGTCGCAGCTGCCTTTGGTGCCACCTGGCAGATTGCAGTCTTCTTCAACGCAGGGTTCCAGCAGAACCCCAAACGTCAGATCTGCGCATCAGTCACAATGTGGTCTTGGCATGGCTTCATCTGTTTGTGTGTTGATGCATCCTGGTGCATTTCCGCAAGTTTCGCAGCAATACTGCAACCGAAGCATCGGTGGGCTTAGGAAGCCGTTTTATTGCATACTACTCCCCAGATCCTTCAAGCAAGCGACGACACAGCGTTTGTTTGAGAGTCGGTATACAGGCTGGAGCAAGGCAAAGACAAGCAGATGATGGTACAGCTACTTGCGGGCCAAGGCACTTACAATAGGACCTAGCCCTGGGAATGCGGAATGCATCAGGATGATTGGCATGATGCCACACTAGTCCAAAAAACCCGAAGCAGACCTCAACCCAGTCTGCACCGAAGATGCTGCAAAAGCTGACCACCCAGCCACGTCCCCCACCCAGGCGTCCGTGGTGCTTTGTGACTCGGAGTGCGGCGATCCCTTCCACCGGCGCGCAGTTCGGGTGCATGCCCCAGTCAGGGCGTCAGGGTTGGAGGATTAGAGTTTAGGACACTTTAGGGCTATTCGAAGCTACAAAGGAGCGTCAACTTCTTAAGAAAGGGTCGTTGGTTTATTGACGTTTAGATTCCGCAGCTTCAGGTTTAGGAATCAGCAGAGCCAAGGATTCGGAGCCGACGCTCACACCCCGAATGTCGTTCCATGCGACTTCACTGTTGCTAGTATATGTGAATCAAACAAACAAAGAAAAGAGATAGAGACAGAGAGGAGAGAGAGGGGGATATGTATGCTTCGAGGGAACATGCCCCTCATGTTGCATTGTGTTGCAGTGTAGCTTATACTTTCCCTTCATGGAGAAGAATGCGACTTCTCGATAAGTGGCCTTTGTGGAGCACGCGCTTCCACTCTGCCCTCCGCAACGGTCGGGGGCGCTAATGTGCGCGGGCAAGGGTTTTTTCCCCCTTGTCCCACCCTGACGAAAGAAAAAGGATATATACATATATATATATATGTGTGTGTGTATGTGTATATTGTGTATATATATATAATATGTATATTTTTTATGTATGTATTTATTTATTTATATCGAGGGGCCACAACCCGTCACCACAGCCTTTGCGAAAGAGAGAGAGAGAGAGGGAGAGAGAGATACCTATTACATACATACATACATACATACATACACATCGTTATTTATACACATTGTTATCAATATGTATATATGTATACGCACTGTTTTCAAAGCTGTTTAGTTGTGTGTGTGTGTGTTTAAACTTATTTTTTAAAGTGTTACACACGCGCACACCCACACACACACACACATATATATATATATATATCGTATAACATGTAGCTGAGTTGGAAGCTTGGCAGAGGCTCGGAGTGTAAGATCGCAAAATCAACTTCCAGAAGGTCCGTAGCTCATGGGCAATATCGTTAGTCGTTAGCACCGAAAAACCTCTACATACCATATATCCTGTCTCCGCAGACCTACAACGAACGTAAAACGCAAGCTCCAGACTCTAGCTCCAAGCTCTTTTTGACCTAAGCCTGTAAACCTCCAACCCTGAACTCGGCACCGCTGCTTGAGAAGCTTCAAAGACCTTGTGAACCTGCCAAGCTCTGGAGGTATCCATGGGACATGTGCTGCGTGTCCCCCTTGTTCAGGGCTGCCTCCATGCGTCTCGACGCAGCATGAGAGGCATGGTGGGGTCGAGGTGACTAAAATCGGCTTCAGGATGGATATGGGGCTTGCTGCATAGTGGTGAGTTGCTGCTTCCCCACCTCGAATGCAGTTTTAAGTGGCTGTCTAAGGATTTGCTGGGCGAATTGGTTGCAGCAGTCGCTCGGCTCGTGCTGGAAACTTGCAGGCCCCCTGCACCACCATAATATAGGGATCAGCAATCACCAGTACTGTGCCTCAGGGATCCGCATGAACTATACTATAATGTGACCGAAATTCACAACCATGTTCCATTTATTGAGGGCCCCCTACATTAGGATTTCTATGTTGTCAAGCAGCATCAAGGATGTGCAGACCATTGCCGTGTGTGATGATCTGCATGATACGGGCTCTTACCTCGATGAGCTCAGCGAACTACACTGCCGCAACAAAGATGCACACAGGCAATTTCGTTGTGTGCGTGTGTGTCTGCTCCTATGATGGCAAGAGCCAACAGCTCTGAGCAGCTAGTGGTCCACAAGGTGTGGGGGTTGCGGGTCTAGGGTATAAGGGTTGAGGGTATTTCCGCAATTAGGGTTTCGGCCAGAGTGTGTCGACGCGATGCATAGTCGTTGAGCTATGTGCCATGTTGGTGGATTTTTTCCATGACTACTTATGCTTGAAGAGCAGAAGCCTGAAATCTGCAGAATCCTTCGTGCAGTGGAATCCCTGTATCGGTTTACGCCGGCTTATCATCAAGCGTGGCGTTGGCTTGTTAGTCTTGCTATTTGGAGCTATCTTAACCACCCCCTCTCCTTGCCATGCAGCAGGGGCAGGAAAACCTAAATCGCCCTGCCCCAAACCGTATCGACGGAAAAGGGTCGTGCAAAATAGAAACCTAAACCCTAGATAAGCGTCTCCTTGATCTGAGGATGGGCCTGCTTCGTTGGCGTGGATGGTGGCGTGCAAGAACCCCTGGCCGAGCTTTGTAGGCAGGATGCCATAAGCATTATTGAAAAATGCCGATATTAATCAGTAGTAGACTAGCAGGTATGATTATGATCGTGATAATAAAACGATAGTCTGCCGCGAAACCCTATTCCAATTATGAAGGTCCTTATTATGTATTCTGATTTCCATCTTCGGAGGCTTCATGGTGACCTGTGCAGGCGGCAAAGTGAGCATACCTAAGTAGACATGGAGGGTAGTGTGGCGCTGATTTGTAAATGATAGAAACCCGAAAGGGTGGAGTGAAGATCCCTCCCACAGCCTGTGGAGACAGTGCCGCAACTGTCCAGGAGCAAGCACGGGTTTTCATCGAGACAGTGGAAACGGCTTTTGCTGAACATGTAAGCCGAAGCGTAAAAAATCATGCAGAGCAGTCTAGGCTGTAGATCCATTTGCCATGCCGTGGTGCGAGGACCAAAGTTACCGTCCGGAAAGCTTTGCCTGGAGTCTCCTTGGGGACAGGCGTTTCCGCAAGCATTGTGCTGTGGCTTGGCATAGAATCACCTCCTGTCGCTTTAGCAGGGTGGCATTAGGACGGTGCAGTGTCATCACTGGCTTTCACTTTGGCATATTCCTGCCCCCTGCGACCCGCAATGCAGGAATTGGGGTCACCAGTACCGGGAAACCTTGTAAGCTAAACAACACAAGCCGCGCACCTGGACTGTCCAAGTTGATGCCGAAGCCCCGAATCCCGACCACTGCCTGGACCCAAGGAATGCTTGCGTGGAGCGCGAAGCGAAAAGACCGCCATGCACCCACTGCACAAAGCTCTCGCACCCTCAGGCTACAGTCGTCAGCCTTCCAGGCCGTTTGGAGACACACGAGTCACATTCCCAACAGGGGTCGGAATACATAGTGACATAGTAGTATTCCCCTACACTCCCTATTGGTACTGTACTAACCCAAGTAATAACCCTTTTAGAGGAAACTTAACGCCCTAGACCCTAAATCCTGTAAAGGAA